CTACTAGCGATGGCCCTGAACCTACTAGGGATGGCCTCCAACCTACTGCTTTGTGCTTGGAACAGTGACAGGTTTTGGTTTTTGGGTTTTGTTTGGTAAACTTTCAGCCCGAGGCTTGGCACGCGCATGGTGCAGCAGTCAATGCGTGATGGCCCCTGATCACCAAAAACTTGCTTTTGCAATGTTGCATATGACATAGTGACCATCCCATAGGCCATTCTTCTGGGGACATGTCTGGTGCGATCCCACCTCGATCAAGCAGCCCCGGCATCAGGCAACGCGCTGTCGCCGCTGCTTGTCTTCATGAGCGCTGAGATGGACATCACTATGGCGCAGAAAGGAAGCCTGTCTGGTGCTTGACTGTTGGGCACTGGTGGCATGTGGACACCTGAATCGTATTTCAGTATATACACCCATATAAGTTAGTGACAGCAGCATCGCTGTTGTGTGGAGTTTGAGTGAAGGCACAGGCTGCGGATGTGACCAGGCTCAGGTGTTGCCCTTTGTGCTCCGGAATCTTTGTGACCAAAGGTTGTCAGCGATTGCGGCCGGCTACTTCTTTACCCAAGTGCGCGGGGTGCTATTACTCATATAGTTATATACCTAGGTTTGTTCTATGAAACTTCTACTAGTTTCTTCATTGTGCAGAGTGCTTTAGATGGTTGAGATGGCGGAGGGATGTGGAGGGTGTATTTTATATATATATATATATATTCTGTATTCTGCAAACTGCTGGAAGTTTTGCTGGCCATTTTGGTCCAAAAGCTGCTACAAAGAAAAGTTCGTGCGATTTGGACACGGGGCACCGAGAGCTTCTTACAAGGCACGAAGATACAAAGGTTTTAAAGAGGCGCTTTGTCTGCCTAAGTGCTTCCAATCTCCTGAACACGGGTCGTACCTATGATGAATGAGTCCTACATGTATAGGGCCATGAGGAAACAGTCCAACCATAACCTACTATTGGGGACTACCAATTGTGGAAACCTGTTTCCAACTTCAACAGAGATACGGAAGCTGGAAACTTGCATGCCCATGACCCACTGGTTCCAGGTACCAGGCGGTGCTCTGGCAGATCGCCTGGGCGCAAAAAATGCTGGGCTCTCCACTCTTGAGTACGCTTTTGGTAGCATGTGCACATTCACATCCACCCACCCGCCCGCCAGCCCACCAGCCCGCACGCTAAGCCAAGGTCATGACAGCAGCCTTGGGGCTCAGTGCCTTGTGCTGCTGGTGGCTCAGTGCATTGGGATGGCAGGTGGAAGCCATTTCTTGGGTAGATGTCACTGATCTCACTAATTTCTTTCCAGGTTTAGCGATCCCATTTTTTGTGGACAGCATGGGCGTGTCCGGCTCCCAGAGCTTTTCAAGTCGGCATGGAGAATTTAAAGAATTCCAGACCCTCCAGCTCCGCAGTGCAAAACTCTTTACTGGCCCCCATTGTGTCCAACCTCCAAGCAGAAGTTTGCGGTGCCCAACCGCTTTGCAGGTCTGGGCTTTGGTACATCATGATGGTTATGGGGAGCGTGCAGGCAGGACCGGTTTCAAAAGCCTTTACAGTTCTATTGGCATAGTGATGACAAGTCAACCTCCTAAGCATGGTCGGGCCCCTGCGATTGAAGATCAAACGGCTTCGGATCGAGCATCTTTGTTTTTGTGGTGCCTGTCACCACGGTTTGAGACCGTGATACGGGTGAACTAGGTTTTGTTCAAGAAAGGACGTCCACTTTTGGACACCGAAAGAGCCGGGTCTGATTGTCGCTCGCTGCTGAGGGCCCCTTGTTTCCCACCAGCACCGTGTACTTAAGCAAGCATTTGCCTCAGTCGGATGGCAACCAACTCCGGAAACAGGCTGTCATTGCTCCCTGTTGCTGTTGCGAAGAGGTTTTATTTTGCTTTTTGCCTCGCGGAGGATGTGCTGTGTATAAACACCAGAAGAGTGAGAGGGAGGAGCCCAGCTGTCCGTGGCACTCAGGTGGATGCCCAAGAAGGTGGAGGGCGGAGCTGATGAGAAGGCCAGAAAGAATGAATCCTCGCTGCACAGGCTTCGGGTGATTTTGTTAGGGGGGGGGAACCTCAAAACCACATTAGGACCCTCTCCGCATGTTTTTGGCAGCAAGCCTTGCCTTTGGTTATGGATTGATAGTAGCTCGACTCTGCTTTCGTTTTGGGTTGGCTCCTGATTGGCAACAACCCATGATCTTGATCGAGGACGAACCAGTATTTATTTCAATATTTGCTGGTGATGCTGGAAAATATGAATTGCTTGGCATGCATTACCAGCATCACTCAAACCTCTCAACGTGCGCAGAACGAGCCGGTAATCGGAAAAAACATACAACCCTCCACAACTCCTCTATTGTCAGGAACAACTTTCGCCTAGCCCAATACCTGGCTTTCATGAAGCAAGGCAAATTTTAGGCCCATAACTACTTAGTTTGCCTCGTGATCTTCGGTTTGCGAAAGAGATGTGAGGTGGTGAAGGCCAGTGAGATGCATTGATGCGTCCAGAGTTTTGCAATCGCTCCTTTTGTATGCAGTCTCATAGGCTTGGGGCACCAGCATGTTGGACATTGGCGTCACTGTAGGCGCTTGGCGTGATGGGGGAGGAAGCGAAACTAGAATGAGGGAGATCAGAAGGCGGAGGTTCTTGATGCCCAAGCACCACGTTGGGCTGCGAGTATGTTTCTCTGAGTCACACGTTATGAGTCATCATTCTATTCGAGGCTGGACCTGCAGCTTTTGGATCAAACATACTTGCAGTGGCAGAGACAGTTCAATATGGCAGAGGTAACTGAAAGGACCTTGAAGGTTTCATACCGGCAGGAGGTCCGCAGACTTCGGGATTGGCCCAAGGAGCTTTGCGGACTTGACCGTGGGACTAAAACTCGAGACAGCTGAGCTTTTTACAATTACTGTATATAATCCTCCTCCTTCAATACAAGCATAAAAAGACGCGGATTGCCAAGATTGTGTTTTTTTGCTCATCCCTTTGCTCCTCCTCCCCCCCAGGAGGGAGAGAGCTGTTGCTTCGAGAACCTGAGAACATCCGCTTTGCAGCTCTTTGATCTGGCGGACGAGGGGCAGAGCCTGAAATATCAGGACGGCAGGCTCAGGGCAATCCAGGCTGACCTTTTCAAAAGATGAATCTTTGTGTTTGGGCCGGATGAGGGGTGATGTAGTTTCGAGTTTCATGTCTTTGTGGCTTCTATAGATAGCATTGGAGTCCACCAGTCTTGTGCTGTGTTCCAGGTTGCCCAAGCTGCTTGTGCGAATCGTATGGGGTGTACAGTTGGAGGGATTGTCAAGCTTTGCACTCAACTCGTTGTATCGATCAGCTGAGACGGATGTTCCACCAAGTGCTGCGAGGAGGACACTGAGAAACCCCTGACGGCAGAAACCTTCCAGGCCGCCCAAAGGTTACTAGTGCTTCTTGCTCCTAGTAGTAAGGCCAGGAGCTACTAATAGCGTCCTTGCTCCTAGTAGCGATGCTTGTTGTTACTAGAAACCTTCCAGGCCGCCCTGGAGGCTGGAGAAGCGCTGATTAGGATCACCATCGTGCCCGCCGAATCTGGCGAATCTGTGAGCACAGGCCGAAGAGGGAGCGTGGTGCGCTGGGTAGCGGGGATGTCGTGCTGATTCTTAACAATGTTGAGCCATCAGCTACACAAAGCCTCCATCATCCTGTTTCAGATTTCCGTTTTGCAGCTTCCCTACAGAAATGGCACATCTTGGAATATACTTGGAGAAGTTGGCTGAAAGAGGGATCAGAGTGGAGGCAAGGGCGATGGGTTTTGCCCTACAGTTTCCAATGTGGTTCGTTGAAGAAATCGCGTATCCACGGCCTTTGGCACCTGTGTGGCCCCACAGCCTTGGTCTTCAGGTGAGAGCACAGTTGAGAGCCGGGTGATCGAAGGAACTCCTTTTGCAGATGGACAAGTTGAGACACAGGCGAGGGTAGCTGAGTCTTTCTAAAAACTCTATTGATGGTGACCGGGACTTTGCCACCTTTTGGCTACTGACACAAGACGTTGGGTTTTGGCCTTTGCCTCGGCGTTTTTTCTGAGTGAATAATCCTTCTAGTGCATGCGAGGCCAGCGGCACCAGCGAAGCCAGCGGCTGGGCACGATTCAAAGAGCAGGTGGTCACTGATTTCCGCGCCAATTACCAGGACTAGATTGGAATGAGTCCTTCTGATTTGCGTAAATCTTCCATTCGAAAGGCAGACTTGCACGATTACAAAGCCAGATGCTAAGCGAGGAGAGTTGCAGAAGATGCGACATGCCATCTGCCAGGATATGCATGGTGCTGTCCTGGGTGAGAGCACAGAGGCATGGCCCTGGTGAAGTTGCCAGCAGGGGCTCTCTCCCTCTCTCCCTCTTTGTCTGTGTCTGTGCCTGTGTCTGTGCCTGTGTCTGTGTCTGTGTCTGTCTGTGTCTGTGTCTGTCTGTGTTTGTCTGTGTCTGTCTGCGTCTGTCAGTGTCTGTCTGTGTCTGTCTGTGTCTGTGTCTGTCTCTGTCTCTGTGTCTGTCTCTGTGTCTGTCTCTGTGTCTGTCTCTGTCTCTGTCTCTGTCTCTGTCTCTGTCTCTGTCTGTCTGTCTGTCCTTTTTTACTATACTGAGGACGTGAAGCCGTTCCTGAAACCTGCTTTTTGGACTTGACACTTCTTGCTTGCTTTGCTTTGCTTTGCTTTGCTTTGCTTTGCCTTGCCTTGCCTTGCGCCTTGCCTTGCGCCTTGCCTTGCCTTGCCTTGCCTTGCCTTGCCTTGCCTTGCGTTGCGTTGCGTTGCGTGCGTGCTTGCTTGCTTGCTTGCTTGCTTGCTTCTAGCCACTTTACTTGGGGCGCTTCTCCACCACGGCTATTGACTTTCCATCCTCGCTCCTCTCCATCTTGCTCCGCAGGCTACCCAAGCTCGACAGGTTGCTGGCCAGGTGGCCGGTGCCGTGGCAGGTGTGGTGGCTTCGGCGCGGCTGATCCCGCTGCATGGCACACGGCTTTGTGCGAAGGCTGTGGCAGCCAAGGCGGGTTGCGAGGCACAGGAGGCGCGGAAAGGGGCGAGCGAATTGCAGCGCAAGATGGGAGGGACGGTTGAGAAAATGAGGCCACAGGTAGACATAGACTCCACTCTGCAACTGTACAATGTACAACAAAGGAGAAGTGAAACGAACTGGATAGGACGGTAGTGATTCTTTTTTGTTCAAAAGGCAGGGGTGAGCTGCCCTGTTCGTTTTGGGCCGGAGTTTTTGCTGTGCAGTGTGCTAGGTAGTGGCTGAGCCAGTGGCAGCTGTGCCAGAGACACCAGAACCGGTGGGGGAGGTGAATCGCTTCAAGCAGCAGGTGGAACTGGGTGTCAGAGCGCTTTCTTCCTCGGAGATCGAAATGTTGTCCATCGTCTCGAAAACTCGGGACATGCTGAGACCTTTTTTCTTTTGGGTGTATGTGAGCCAAGTCTGCTTGGTGGCGGAGACCAGTGGAGTCAACAATTGCACCGAATCTAGAACGGGTGACTATGCCTATAGTTATGCATAATTACACAAGTAGACTGGGCTAAGATAAAGAAACACGTGTCCATGGGTGAAATGGAGCTTGTTGCACGCCTTTCCGACACTTATCTCGACAGGTCTTCCAGGACTTCGAGACGGGGCGGTCTGAGATCCAGGCAGCATTTGGTTACTTCGTGGGCCAGGCGCCGTGCGATGAGTGAGAAAGATTCTTCATGGATTTTCAGTTTTAAATGGCTTGCAATTTAACGGACCGGCCTAGGAAGACACGGAGAAAGAGATTTCAATTTGGTTTCTGTTCTTGATGAATTCATTTAGGTTCTCGCTTAGATTGTCAAGCGTGAGAGGAGCGCACCCCGGAGTCCCAGCCGCGCCTGGGTGCGGATGTGCTGCCTGCAGTGGCCTCCACAGTGGCAGGGTTGACCGTCGCAACTACCTTAGTGCCCTTGCGGGCAGCACGCCTTGCGGTGGCCAGTTTGACGAAGAGGGAAGGTGCAGAAGGTGGGGAAGGCTCGGCTGAAGTTGCTTCTGGGTGAATTTGGGTGAAGTTAGTAGTTAGACGAGGACAGATTCGCGGGCAGCTAGGCTCCATCGCAGCTTTGGAAACAAAGGAATGGTAGATGAGCATGCGGGCAGCTTTTGCATGTCTGCCAGACGTGTGACGTGAAGGTGCCCAGCCAGATCCAACAGCACAGCAAGCCCAGCCCGAATCGGCAACCAGCCAGTGAGAGCCTCCACTTTGAACTGTCTCACCACACGTTGACTTGCCAAGAGGACCAGTCGCAGAATAACAGAAATCTCAAGTTTGTGACGGAAACAGATTGGGCTTTGCCCAGTGAAGCCTGAGATGGCCTTGTCAACCTTTTTGCTTATGCCTCGCTGGCGTCAAGGATTGCACAGGACGTGGGCAGAGGCAGTGTTTCGGGAGCCTGTCCGGGCACACGTGGATGCCCATCAGAGTACAGCACCAAACATTCTTTATAAGAAAGGCCACTTGAGTATGTAACATGATTTTTGTAGCCAATAGGGCCTTCTTATTGTTTGAAGTTAGCCAATCCAGAGTGCTGGACCGGCTCTTTCGCCTGTTTCGGAAAAGAACCGCCCTTGGTACGCTCTCCACCTTGGTCGAATGACTCTAGCCGTGCCAGTTCCACAGTTTGGATTGCGCGTGGGACCATTCACGGACAGGAAGGATTTTACCAGGAATCCAGCAGCTAATCATTTGATCCCTGTCACTGGATACTGTAGCTGCGCTCTCGCTTTGTCATTCCTTGCAAAACCTGCCAGAATAGCGACGAGAATGTCAACAAATAGGGCAGCAAAGCTTAATTCTTAGGTGAGGCCTCTCACACACACACAATCGCTTGTGTAGCTTGGTGGCTGTTCAAGCACCCAAATCCCCTAGGATTCGTGATGACCAGAACCAAAAGGGTCTGAAGAAACAAGCATAAGCATATTGCACCCTTGAGCATAATGATCATCCGTTTTGTCGTTCACGGTCGGCAATGACAATGACCTTTAATCACATGTTGAAGGGCAAGTTGCTTTGAGAGTGATGCTGAATTCCTTTTTCATAATTTCATCCGTTCGTCGGTCGTCCCTGTCGCCTGTGCTCAAGCGATTGCTTTGAAGATGATGTTGATGCAGAGGGCAACGATGACAACTTATGACCATGACAACAACCATCTGAGTCAAAAAGAGGTAGATTCTCTTCGGGCTACCGGACGCCCTGGCTCACCTCGCCGAGTCAGAACAGCAGCTGCTCGGGGCACCCGCGCCGCTCCTGCCACTGAAAGGGTTTCCATGGAGCTGGAAGTTGCAGATGGCCACCCGCTTTGATGGGAGCCTCGGTGAAGGGCAAAGCAGCAAAGTGCGGGTCCAAAAGCTTCAATGTGTAAGGGGCCTGGAAGGCAAGTTGGATCTTGAGCTAATGCCAGTGGGTGAAACAGGATGAAGCCAAACCTTGGAAGTGCATGCTTTTTCGCTCAGGACGTCAATCCCTGGTGTTCCACAGCCTGAAGATGTTCCTTGGCACTGCATCCCTCAGAACGTTGTTCTACAACATCTGGTCCAGCTGAATAAAACAA